CATGTTAAAATCTCATTTTAACAGTCACTCAAGTAGCCTATCAAATTACTTCCACTTTTCTATTTCTGAGCTTTGACCAGGACTTCCTGGGCTGAAAAAAATTAGAAGTCTAGATTCTTCCTAAACAACTTATTCATTTTTTGACATGGAAAATTATTGAAACAATTTCTGACACACAACAGTACGCATAATTCTTCTGCAGCAGTGTTGTACCACCACTGAACCCTCCAACACTTGTTATCCCTCACAACCTACTGTCTTTGCAGGATTTATTGTTGTCATATGCCTGTCAATCCAGGATTCTTATTCTTTGAAGGAGAATGAGATATTTCTTTGGGATGTGTCCTGTGGACTTAAAAGCTTGGAATTGTTTTCCAATTATTTAAAACTAATTTAAAACTATCCTGTTTTGGCATTTTCTTCATCCATTGCCATAACCCACTAAGATTTCTTCTTAGTTATAATATAATACAGACATGAGAGAGTAACCCTGACATGTCATAACAATTGTTCTTACCAGGGAGTCATAAGTCTCTGGTTTTTCTTCTATTTTTCCAGCTTTCTTCATTCTATTCAGTCGTTTCTTTTCCACAGCACCAGTTCGATCGAGGAAGGTGTCATCATCACTGTCATAAAAGTCCTCATCTTCCCAGTTCTTTGATTTCCTTTTTCGGGATACTGAGAAAGGCACAGGAGAAGGCAAGAAACAAAATGATTTGCATATCACTCAGCAATAAAGCAAATTCAAGATAGCAATCTCAAATCCCTAATTTAGGGCATTTAGAATGATCACACTTATTCACCTGCTTCTTGCCTCAGTACTCCTCGAGCATCAAGCAGCCTGCAAGCTTCCAGTGCACATTGTATCATCGCTTCCTTCTTTTTTCCTGAATGGAGAATTTCTGCCACTAGCTGCTTTCCTGATGCATCATCCACAGGCAACCTGTTCAGTTTGAAGGATCAGAGAACAGCTCAGATACAAACAGCTTTTCAGGGTTGCTACTCAGATATTTTACAATGGCATTGCCATTTCATTTTAATCTTTTTTTTTTGTGTCAAAATTTTCCACTTTTCATTTCATATAGAACCAATCAAAAGACAAGCATGATTTCCTAATCACGTAAGTCAATTTGTATTTCACTGGTCCAAACAGTAATTTTTCCTCTATTTATTCCATTAGAAATACAGAAAGTTGGAAGATTAAATGTCAATCCTTGAATAATTTTAAGTACTGGTATCTTGTATCCATACAATGTGGGTAACAAATAGTTTCCATGACAAAGCAAAGGATTTTTAAGCAGTACAATCATTACTATGTTGAGACTTGTTGACTTAATTTTCACCTCACCTTCTCCTGTCTTATAAAGAAATTACATTAGTGGCTTCTAGCGGGAACCCCTCAAAATTTTTCTTATACCATACAGGAACTGAAATTGGACAAACAGTAGAATTAAGTTTGGGGGTTTTTTGGATCTTTCTCATTAGGAATTGAAAGAGATTGTTTCCTAGTTTCTTCTCTTGTATTCCTATTTTACATACTGCTCAAAACAAGGGGAGCTGAAAGAACCTAGACCCTTGCTTTCCCAATTTTCATCCCCTAGGAAAAGCATATCTTCTAAGAACAAAAAAGGAGCACAGACACTGAAGCAGGCACTGATCCATCAACCTCTGTCTCAGTATCAGGGATTAAATCTCAATTTAGCTGGCTTCCTTGCCAAGTGTGTCACAACAATTAATTCATTCAGTTTTGTTTGCAAATTCAACAGTCAACTTCCATGTACCAAAGGAATGGAGATGTACATACTTGATCCTGCACAGCCAGCTGTTGTGCCCACGATCATCATACTCATATTCTAACTCTTCTCCTAGAGAAGAAAATAAAATTGATGTAGTAACCAAAATTGAAATAATCTTTACAGCAGGGACATTCTTCTAAACAAAAGGAATAACCAGCTCTTGCTGCATAACATGATTATGCTTTACTTATGCTGATTTGGGTTTTTTCCCAAAATCAAGGCTTTTTCAGACCAAAAAATCTCTAAGTGGCCTGTTTAGGAACATGTAATTCAAAGGAAAAAACCAATCTTGTCTCTGTATGCATTAAAGTAAATGATGCTGAAGCAACAACAATTTGCAATCTGAATTCACAAATACTGTTTGGCTTCAAGGTTGCTTTTTCACTTCAACAAATAAGTGAATAATCCTTAAGTTTCACTAGCAACCACTGAAACTTTGGACCACTTAAGTATTGCCTTTTGTCCTTTTTAGATTTTTCCACATAGCTTCAAAGCATGAGTGAAGTTTGAGTGTCACTCCAGAGGATACAAGCTGAAGAATATTCCAGAATACTCACTGCAGTTTAGGAATTAGTAACTAAGACTCAGATGTACAATGGTAAATCAAATTTTAATGATAAAAAACCCAAAACAAACCACTACAAATCCCCACCAAAACAATGTTACCCACAGCGTAACAGAAAGTTTTGCTCCCCCATGACACTTTATATCCCCCTGAAATATAAACAACAAAGTAACACTAGGCTGAGTTAAAAAAAAAATCACATTTAATAAAAAAAAATAATGAAACTACCTTCTCTATCAAAAAAGCCCTGTAAGGCCTTCCTAGGGTCCTTCATATAAAAGGCATCTTGAACATCCTGAAAATCAACAGCAATAGGGTTTTCTTCAACCTCATCCTCCTCAGCATCTTCACCTAGAAGACATAAAAAGTCCAAAAAAACCCCATGAAACATGAGAAAGAGAACACCAGCATATTTCAACTTTCAAAATTACTTCCCTTAAATTTATTATTCCTATACCAAATAAAAAAAGATTTTTGCTATTAGTTATTCCAATATACTATTCAGTTTTGCAGATCAGTGTCAGTCTCACTACTTTCAAAGGCTTATACCTTATACATTTTCACTAAAAAAAAGCCCAATTCACTTGCAAAAAGCTCATTAATGATAATTTATCTAGCTCTAATATGTGGACTTGCTGTTTAAATGCAAAGATAGCTATACTGCATAGAAGTCTCAAGCAGTTAAATTTCACCTCTTAGGCAAAAGTGTGGACATCATCACAGAAGCAACCCAAAAAGCATTAATTAAGTTCTAAGTTTCATGGCCTTTTATAGGTATAGGCAAATTACCTCCTGCTGTTTAAAAGGAGCTCACCAGATGTTAGCTTGTCATATACCCTTCCTTTTAGCAGCAGAAGGATTAAATTGCACTCAAAAACTTTGACTGGATTGTGACTCTTGGTAGCCAGTTGGAATATTAACCTTCAGTGAAAATTGGCTTCTAATACATATCAGCCAATCAATACATCCTTACCCATGCCCCACGAGCAGCTCATATCACTGTTCTGACTCCTTTCATTTCTCTCCTCTTTCTCATCTTCCTCATCAGAGTCCTCTCCCAACATTGTCTTTTCTAATTTTGCTTGCTGCTGCTTGCGTAGTGCCTTCAGTTCAGTCACAGTTAGCTCTGACTCAGACTCCTGGTCCTCTTTGGGTCCCTAAGTCAAAACAGAAAATTAGCAAAAGTGTTATTAAAAAAAACCCCAAGTATTTCCAGTACACATGCAGGTTACATATAATAACACAGGCACATCATTACACCGCTCTTCAAAAAGTGGAATTATTTGACTATAAATGGTTTACATTCCAAAATATATTATCTTTAACGGCATTTTCAAAAGAAAGGCATGGAGAAATAAGCATTGTAGTGTACTTGCAGTCAGATCCATCTCACATATAACTGTAATTAAAAGACTAAAGGCAAAAATTCACGTCAGAACTAAATGGGTGAATCTGAGGAATGAGCAGCTTCTGAAGCGCGTGTACAACACACGATGTGCCGCCCAAGTCCCTACTAACAAACACTCTCCTTTTTCACAAAGAGATATTAGTTCTTTATTTATTGCGGCATCATACTGTCAGAAAGACATTCCTAATACATCACACTGTTGGAGAGAAATGCCTTTTGCACTGACAGCACATCACTGCAGCCCCACACCTCACTGCAGGGCCGGCAGCAGACAGCCACAGCTTTTCTCCCGGTCAAACAACCACGGCAGCGCTGAGCTGCTTCCAAACCGCCTCACACCTCATAGAGCCGGCAAAACTCCCGAGCCTGACCCGGGCCAGCCTCTACCACCCCGCACACGCTCCGGAGCCGCCCGAGCCCCGACGCACCTGCAGGAGGAAGAGGCGGGAGCTGCCGCCGAAGCGCAGCCCGTGGCCCACCCGCACCCGGCAGTAGGTGCGGGGCGGCACCCGCGCCTTGTTGAGGAAGGTGCCGTGGGTGCTGCCCAGGTCGTACACGTAGAACCCGGCGGCATCGGCGCCGCCGGGGGAGCAGCCGGCGCCGCGGTACTGCAGCACGGCGTGGTGCCGCGACACCGACGGGTGCTCCAGGGACACGGCGCAGCCGGGCAGCCGCCCCACCAGGAACCAGCTGCTGTCCTCCAGCCGCACCGAGCCCAGCGCCACGCCGCCCTTCAGCACCTCCAGCCCGTACCCGGAGGCGGCGGGCGGGCGGCTGCCCCACGGCGGCTCCTCGTAGCGCGGCGCGGCGGCGGCGGCGCGGGGCGCTCCGGGCGGGCCGGGCCCCGGGTCTCCGGGCCCGGGGGCGGCGGGCAGCGGGCGGCTCGGGCGCTTGAAGGCGGCGGGCTCGGCGGGCTCGGCCTCCGCATCCATTGCCGCCTCTGCCGTCTCCGCCATCTTCCTGGGTCCGTCGCCAAACGGAGTCCTCCGGGAACGAGCGCTGCGGCGCGGCAGAGCCGGGGGCAGCGCGTAGCTCCCGGGGCCGCTCCGCCGCCGCCCAGCGCGGTCCGGGGCAGCGAGGGGGGCGAGTCAGGGAGGGCGGCGGGAGGGAGGGCGGCGGGAGGGCAGGCGAGGCGGAGGCAGCAGCGGCGGTGGGTGCTTCTCTCCTCCGGGCTGGAGGAGCGCGGGTGGCGGGGGAGCCGCTCTGGTGGCGGACCGGGACGCAGTTCCGGCAGGGAGCGCAGCGCAGGGTAACGGGGGGCGGGCGAGCCGCGGCCTGGGGAGGGAAAGAGGGCGAGGGTCGCCCTCGGGATTTCTCCACGCCGCGGGTCCCGCTCAGCGAGGCCCGGGTGGGTCCACAGCAGCCCTTGTTACACACAGAAACGATTTCACGATCGCGTTTGTTTGTGCCCCTTCTCCCCCCAGGAAAAGCCGCGGTGCGATCTGTGAGCTGCCAGAGCGGCGAGCTGGTGCTGTCGAGGACACTGAGCGACAGCGTGCTTGGCAGCCCTAACTTGAGGTGGCTGGAGCGGCGTCCCAGCTCCTGTGTCTGCTGCTGCCCAAACTGCTTTTCCCTGCAACAAGCGTCCTTTGTACCCGCAGTACTCGGTAGCCTTCTTCTGGGTTCTGAGCACGCCAGGTGACCTATGCATAAAAATGTTGCGATACTGGGGCGAGATCCCGGTTTCCTCCAACCAGGCCAACCGCAGCTCCTTTGACCTGCTGCAGCGCGAGTTTCGGACCGTGGAAGTGCAGGATCCGCCGCTGCACCAGCCGTCCGCCAACAAGCCCCGGCCCACCACCATGCTGGACATCCCCTCCGAGCCCTGCAGCCTCACCATCCACACCATCCAGCTCATCCAGCACAACCGCCGGCTGCGCAGCCTCATCGCCGCGGCTCAGGCTCAAAACCAGCAGCAAGCAGAGGGCATAAAAACCGAAGAGAATGAGCCTCTGCCATCTTGTCCTGCCTCCCCACCTCTCCCTGATGACCTGCTTCCTCTGGATAGCAAAACCCCCAAAATGCCATTTCAGCTGAGGCACAGTGACCCAGAGAGTGATTTCTACAGGTGTGTTGGTATTTCTTTAGGTTAGTTCTTGGCTGAAGGAAAGCTGAGTGTTCTAAAATATCTATGTAGCAATGTTCATTCCCTTAGGCTAATGGGTCAAGCTGTTGTACGTAAAGTATAAAACAGGCTTTAGAAAGGAAATACATAGATTTTTCCTGTGTGAATAACATGTGTATTGCTTGCTTTTGCTTCTCTCTGTAAAATGTGGAGGTGTGGTGCTGATTTCTGTCTTGTTAGTACTACACTAAATGTGTATGCATGGTTTTGTCGGTGGTATTTCAACAGTTTCAGTTACAGGATGTGAAGTCTCTTCTGTCCAGATCACTCACAACTAAAGTTGTGTTACTGTAATTGCAAATCCAGAGAACACATGACTAGATTTAGGCTGTTCATCTGTAGGTTCTGAAAAGATGATTTGATAATGTATTTGTCAGATTTCAGTGGTCAAGGACCTGTGACACAGTGACTATCACATTCCACCAGTTTGGTGGTCCTCGAGTCAGAGCTGGAAATGCACACAAGTGAAGGGAATTCTCGTTTCTGCTACTGGCTCCACCAGCTGGAGAAAGTGTAAAGAAAATTTGCGCTGCTTCTACCTCTGCTGCCAGCCTTTGATTAAATAATATTGCCACCACTGCCTGTCTGTCCCTCTGACAGGCACTAAATTCACAAGGAGGTGTTGCATTTCTTGCAATATCTGACAGTACTTTGTAGGTTATGTGCATTTAAATTAAGGGATTAATCGTTGCTACTGTGTCCACTAGTTAACATTTTGAGGGAAAGGATAACACATGCTAGTTTTTAAAATGGTAAATATGCATCAACGGAATGTAGTTTATCACTTTAGTGCCACTGAAATCTTTAGTGGCCTGAGGTTGTATAAAATGCATTTTATTGAAAGTTGTTGCATTTGGTAACAGTGTCTCTCTGAACAAGGGAATGATTCTTTAGTGCTGTTTCTGGAGGAACACCATCATCCTTATCAGAAGATACAACGTAATTAACAGAGAGCAGACACTGAAGGGAAATAGAGTTTTGTGAGAGTAGTCAGGGCCTGTGACTCCTGCACTGTGGCCCTGTGGTTTGTAGAACTGAGAAGTGTTCTCTTCTGTCCTCCTCAGTGGCTTCAGCTTGAAATTGTTTTCTATGGCTCTGTCCATGTTTTGGGGGCTTATTTGTCTTTTTGTTATTTCTTCTGAGTTTTTGGGGTCCGAGTAAAGAAATGTTATTTAGTGGTCAGCCACGTGGGGGAGTGTAAGGACTACGTTGTGGAAACTGGAGAGAGAGTTTTGAAATGAAATGTTTTGTGGCTGACAGAGTGCATTTATAATGAGCTGCAGTGTATTCTAGAATTTGATTGTGTGCTTGCTAACCCCACACCCAGCTTTTCCAGGGGGGAGGCTTCGAGTTGTTGCATGTTTGCTCCTACTGTTTTGAGACACGTGAATTAAGAATAACAGCTGTTTTATAAGTGCTGTTCTAGTAGCAAAAATGAAGTTCTATGATTTGGTGATGCTTCTGAGTGTGTAAAATCAAATCAAAGCAAGAACATTCTTCCCCCTAACAAAACATGATAGTGCTTAATTCTGTGCTGCCTTCTGAAGTGCAGTTGTCAGAATTACAGTGTTTTGATAAATTCATATTTTAAGTCCATTTTTTTTGGTCAGTATCCTGTGTCTGAGAAGTAGTGCATAGGTACATTTAGATACAGGAAGAAAGGAAGATAAGAGTTGCCAGCCTGAATCAGAACACAGGTTTAGTTAATGTAGGCCTGACCTTTTCTGTTTCCCTGTTACTCATTTTCATTCTTTGACACACTGTCCCCTTTTGTTATCTCCTGAATTGGTTTTGGTTTTCCTCAGCCCCATATGTAACCCCTACCTCCTTGTATGATGAGGAAGAGGCAGAGTTTAATTTATGGCCATTTTTGAGTTGGTTTGGTCTTATCAATTCTCCAAAGTCTGTACTAACAATGGTTTTATAATTACTACACTGTTCCTTTCCTACAGTTTTCCAGACTGTTTATAAATATGTTAAAAAAGCATGATAAAAAAATATGTTGATTCTGGCACAGATCCCCCAGGGAGGACCTGGACTCTAGAGTGGAGATCTCTGTTCTATTTGCTTGTTGATAGATTTGGAGGACTCTGATAGGTTTGTGAAGCAGGTTTTACAGTTAAAAAAAGTCCTCTGGGTTCTTTCTTACCATAACATATTTACTTATGTGTCCTCTAGTTCTTCAAATTTCCCTGATGCACCAAAATACATCCATGTTTCCCAGCCTGCAGTTTTCCACATCTCCTCTGAAGGTATTAAAGGAAAATGTTTTCACATTTTCTGTCTTCTGGTCCTCGTGGGCCAAGGCAGTTCAAAGCAAGAGGTAACTCACCACAGCTATTCAGCTATTTCATCCTTGCATTCTTTTAATATTCTTGCATGAAGTACCATCTGGTCCTGGTGATGTTACAGTTCTTGGATGCACAATAAGGGATTGACATCTGGTTTTGCCTGATGTAGAAATAGAAAAGAAGCTTGAAGTATAATTGATGAAGAATGAGTAAGGAGCTGTAGACTTGAAACTACCATTTTGACAGGAGACTCTTACCATATAACAGCTGCTAGCTTTTCCATCTTCTCTGCTCAGCTTCATCATATTAGCATCTTTAAAAGAAGCCTGACCTACTCATGTGCTTCTTCTTTTGTGTGCATGGTTGGATTCTTAACAGATTTTCTCAGTCATTTGGTCATTTACATTCCTGGCCACGTTGGATTGCCTTGAAAGGTAATCTGTAAACAAAATTGGGAGCTTGCAATGGGAAGACAGCTCTTGACAGAAGGACTTGTAGTTAAGAAATGTCTGTACAGAAGTAGAGAAATACATGTCAGGTGGATAGATAGCAGTTTTAATGTAGGGAAGGATTTGGAGCAGTGTTAATTAAAGTGGGCAGGAGATGCTTTCCCTGATGATCTGAGTGCTTTGGCTTAGTCCATTTCTAAGCTGACTGGTCTGGATTATGCCACTGAGATCCAATTTATTTTTGCCATTACCTATTGAGCTTTTTTTTTTTTTCATACCTGTGCAACTTTCTGTAGACGTAGCAGAGGTATTTAAAAAGAGACTTACTCAGGATGAGGTGTAAAAAGGCTCTTTCCTGAAAGAAAACAACTTTCTGGTTTGAGTTAGTGTGCTGTGTTCTTTAGTGCTCTTTCTTACTAGTGAATCTTGATTGTACAATGTTTTCCTTTATTTTACTGCTTTGGAAAAATGGCTCTAAAGCAGCCTTGTTGCAGCTCATTTGGTAGAAATTCAACTTCACAGTGTAACGTTTCATCAAAGTGTTCTGTTCATAGGAAAAGCAGTCCCTCCCTCCATCTGCTGCTGGCTTCTGCTCACCTTGGAGAGAGCAGGGCACTTCAATCCATTCCTACAGTTGACTGAACCTTCTGATCCTTGTGCTGGCTTGGCCTGTCTCCTGAAGACAGTTACATGAGAAAGGAACCATGAGCTCCCCTTCCCTCTAAGAAAAGCTGCCCTAAAGGAGAGGAACTTGGAGGAACGGATTGTGCTGCCTTTGTGGCTCACTGTCATTTAACTGACACAGAAAGTGAGCCTTTGGTGAGCTCTGAAAACTGACTAAATCAGAAGATAAGTCTGGTTGGTATAAATGGACACTATTTTCATGTCTTCTGTTGTAAAGTTGTGCATGTTTTTGGTAGTGGTGGGAGAAGGTTGGCCTTTGGGTCTAATGAATTTGTAGCTTGACAGGTAGATTTCTGTCTGGAGCATCATTTAGTGTTGGTAACACATATATAAAATATATAGCACTCTGTTAGAAATACAAAATTGAAGAGTGGCAAGTTGGCCAGTATTTGTAATGAATTTCTATATACTATGTATTCTGTAGAGGAGATTGCCTCCATGTCACAGGCTTAATTCCCTGTCCTGTTAATCTCTGGTGACAAAACATCAGGGATTAAAGCACTCATGTTTACTTGTAGATATATGACTGAGCCTTTCAGGAAAAGAACTAAGTGCTGCAGAGGGTGGCATTCTGCATAATGATGATATCTGGATGGGTGCTTTTTTGGTGCTGAGTATCTGGATGAAATCCAAGACAAAGACTCTTTAGCTATGATCATCATGGAAAAGAAGTTTGCTTGTCCTTTTTGGGAAGGTTTGACATTAGATAACTACTTTCAACATAAATGTGTCTATATGACTCTTTGTTCATGTGTGTTCTTACCAGAGGGTACCTGGAAATCAAAGGAGATGAAGAAAAAATATTTTCGTTATTGGTTTCTATTAACATCTACAATAATATTTCAATTTTTGCTCTCTGTTCTGGATTTTAATCATATTTCTCCGTTGTTTATTGTGAGGAACAGGAAAGCAAGAGAAGAAAACATAAGAAAAACAAAACCAAATTGACTGGCCTTAGCAAAAGCAAGAGATGGAGATTTGGATTTGAGTGCAGTACCTGAAATGTCTTTCGTCTCTGTCTTTAATTGATTAGATTTCAGGTTGATTATATGCCTTCCAGCATAGTGACCTAGCTGCATTTTAATGCTCACAGTTAGTTTCTTTTCCTCTAGGAGTTTAAAGAGACACAATATTCTCTGCTCTTCTGAGCAGTGATATGCATTACTGAATGTTTTTTAATCTACTTTGCAAGTGGTGAAGTATCCTGCATGGGATTGCCAAAATCTGTGTAATTTAAGTTTGTCCACAGTGTTTTTAGTGAAGGTCTCTGTATTAATAGAAGCCTGGCATTCAGTTTTGGTAGCATAAGGTGGTCTCCACTACTGGGTGCTGGACAGCTAGTCCTTTATATAAAAAAAGAGATTAGTTTTTATAGACAGGAATTTAAAGATTGTTTTCTGGTTGAAATTGTTTGATGGTTGTTTATTTCTCTTGTAAACTCTTGGTCCTGGTGTTGTGTGAGACATATGGCTGTTTGTGAACTTCAGAATTCTGCTGCTGAGGTGGGGGGGGGGAGTGAGATGTAAAAATAGTATGGGTAACACTTATTTTATAAAGAAACTGATGATCTTTTAATTCATCTTGTCAGGGTGCCTGCTGTCTTCTTTGCACAGTAGTTACATAACTGAGTAGAAATTGGGATGCTAATCATTTTCCATCAATTAATAGTTGGGATAAATCCATGACCTGAGATTCACATACTGTTCTCAGTATCTACTTAGAAATGTGATCATATGCCACTCATAATATAGTGTGATTCCCCCTTTATTTGAATAATCAGAAAGTGTTGTGCTGGCATTCTTCAAAATGAATAATCTTCATCCTGATAGCTCGAAGTTTCACCTTCCTTTTCACTCCTCTTTGCTTTTTTACTGCTGTCTTTTCTGTGTGTCAGCTACGAGGATCAGGGGAAGCTGAGGCTCTCTGGCCCAGCTTCTCAGTGAGACTGAAGGGTACCTCATGGATTGTTGGAGAGACAGAGTAGTCAGAACTTTAACAAGCCATTTATACTGTCTGTGTGCTGTTAAATCAGGTCCTTCTACTGGGAAGAGTGTGTGGTGACACAGGCGATCTCGGGTAACAGCAAGAACAATCTCCTGGTGTGATGTAGAAGATGTTGGGAGAAAACGATCAGAAACAAATGGAGAGTGAAATTGTTAGCTCACTTCTGCCCCTGGTGCTGAATGGAGTGTAAAAAAGTGTATGAGTATCATACTTAGCAGTAATGGAATTTGATTTTTTGACATCAGCATTTGAAGTCCATGTTACTGATACGGGCAAATAGATTACATGCACTTAATTGTAAATTGAGAAATCTGGTATATATATGTTTCTCTATCAGGGCCTTGCCTTAACTTCTCTGGGGAATGTCTATTTGTTAACTCACGTTGATAAAAAATTTGGTTGGCTGACTATAAGGCAATGAATGATGTTTGAAGTGCTCATGTCAGTTGTTCTCCATCTCCTCCATCCTGTGTAGTCACTCCTTCCTGTTTAGCAACAGAGGAGGGTGGTCTTAAACCCAAGACCAGAAAATGGTGCTTTGTGGGCAAACTTCTCCAGACCTCCTCCCAGGGCCTGGTGTTCGCATCTTAGGTTGCATATGGGGATACTTCTTTCAGTGTTCATGCTTAGTGACTACTGGAAATGAGAGCAGAGAAACAGAGAGCAGAAGGCTTTTTGGCTACAGTGTACCTCTATGAAATGTATGTGTGTCCCATTTCTTCCTTTGTATGTGTGTCTTTTGCTTTAGAAATTCCAATCTTGTCTATCCCAGAAACCTTTATGTCTGATTATTGGGCCTATGACATCAAAGATGACAAGGAAGAGCAATGTAATTAACTGAGAGGGGAAATTATTTGCATTCATGTTATTTAAAATGCCTTTTTTTGTTTGTGTCAAGGACCCATTTAATTCACATCTCCAGGAGGAAAGCTCTTGGGTGGGAAGGGAGATGCTTAAGGGTTCAGAAGATTTGCATCCCACATTCATGAATCACCCAAAGAATCTTGTGGCATTAGAAGGGAAAATGAAATTTGGAAGTACTGCTTTGGAGGGAGGGAAAGAAGGAAAAGCAGATAAACACTTTTTAGGTGGTGTTCATATGTAACAGAAGCTGTGGAGAGCCCGCTGCCTTCCCTTTGTACATCACGTTATTATTGACAGTATCTCTTCAACCGATACAGTCCTTCAGGTTTTTGAAAGTGTGCTATTTTTGTCTTTTCTGTTTTTCAGAGGAAAAGGGGAGCCAGTGACGGAGCTGAGCTGGTCCTCCTGCCGGCAGCTCCTGTACCAGTCGATGGCCACCATCCTGGCACACACGGGCTTTGAGTGCGCCAACGAGAGCGTCCTGGAGACCCTGACGGACATCGCGCACGAGTACTGCCTCAAGTTCACCAAGCTGCTGCGCTTCGCCGTGGATCGGGAGGCTCGCCTCGGGCACACCCCCTTCCCTGACGTCATGGAGCAGGTCTTCCACGAAGTGGGCATTGGCAGCGTGCTCTCACTGCAGAAGTTCTGGCAGCACCGCATCAAGGATTACCACAGCTACATGCTGCAGGTGAAAAGAGCGTTAGGGAGCTGGCAGCACAAGAAATGTACCCCCAGTACAGTTGCTTATTCCCAGGGAAAGTCCTGAGTCTTATTTGTCGGAACTCAAAATGTCCCTCAGACATTTTTGGATGTTCCGTGCCCAGGTCAGAAGCATTTGAGACCCTGGCAGGCAGCTGGAAACAGCTGTGATTTTGGGTTTGAACCATGGAATGATTTACCAACCTTGCAGGAAGAACAAGAAGTTACAAAAGTTTAGATATTATAGTAGAAGTAGTCACAAAGTACAGGGAAGAATTTTTCAGTGCTGTACAGGGGGGTTTTGGTTTTGTCCATGGGGGTCAGAAGTTTTAAGATGGAGGGATTTGGGCCTGCCCTGTCCTCCCTCTCTCTTCTTCCTTACCTCCATGTTCTTGGTGATGTTGGCACTCACAGATTGGTTTAGAGTAGAAAGGCACCATTTAATATAGGTAATAGGCATTGGGGAAAACTGTAAACATGTAACATGTAATGTACCATATGAAAAATAGCACCAGCCCTGGGTGGGGGGAGAGAAGAAGACAACAGACAGAGAGGATGTCAGGGTGTGTGTGTGCCTTTGCCTGAGCTGCTGAGCAAACCACAGCAGCTCAAGAAGAAAATCTTTTAGATAACTTGCAATAAACTGCCTTGAGACCGGACGACTGAAGACTACTGAGTCTTTCGGGTTGGAGGAGAGACTTTTCCACCACACAGAGCCACCCCCGACCTAGGGGTGAGCTCTGGCATTATTGAGGGGAAATCTGACTGGAAAACTTCCTGGGTGTGGAGAGGAGTCATCAAGGGAAAGAGAACAGGAACTTTTTGACTGGAAGACAGAGCCCCTTATTTGTCCTCTTAGTGAGACTAACGATGCTCTACTGATGGCTTGCCTGAATTTAAGAGTCCCCCAGCTTTTGAATTGCCCAGTAAAAAATTATCAAGTAGAGTTAAAATCAGAACTGATTGAGGATCTGAATTTTCTTCTTTAGTAGGATATTTGACTGGTTAGCATTTTGGAAAACATGTAAGCAGACATAAATTTCTAGGCTGTAGAGTGGTTTGTGTTCACTTAAGCAAGGAGTGACTTCCTTAAGCTTTAGGAGTGTAGGGTAGTATTTTGCTGATTTGAGTTGTCACACAGGTTGTTGTAGTAATTTCTTCTTATATAAAAATAACATCCTAAAGAGATGTTCTCTGTTAAAAACATTTCTGCTCTAAATACCAGTTCTGTTCATTTTTGTTCAAATATTTTTGTTCAGATGTCATCTCCTTTTGGAATCTGGATCATTTTCAGTATCATTCTGCTGCTGCAGTTCACTCACACCCTGCAGCTGATCATTGTCTTAGCAATCATTGTTCTTTGTGCAGAACTGAGGTCCACAGTAGCCCCTTTATTTGGAAGCATGTCTTGAAGGGGGGAAATAGGCATTGCTATTCTTTTTCCTCCTTGCTTCTGCTGTTAACAAGTCTTGAGATTTTCCTGAGCACACGTCACTGACTGTTAGGTTTTAGTTGTATAAACAAGTTTTTGTTAGAAGCAGATGAAATCTGAAATGTTTAAATTTTATTGTTAAGTTTCTGGAAGTACGGGGTAGTTCTAAATGCCATTCCTGTATTTGTTTCACTTCTCTAACTGGAGAAAACTTCTGTGTTTTTTGCTGTGAATCTGGCACAATATACTCAGGCTTTGCTCAGTGGGGACTACAGGGCTGTTGAAGATCTGAAGTTCTTGGTTTTTAATGCTGGGATGAATTTGTTACTGGAGGATGGGCACAGTCTTATGGGTAAAACCAAAGAGTAAGACTGAGACATTTTGCTTTTATTTCATGTTCTGTTTAAATTTCTGAGCCTCATCATCTGTTTATAAAATAACAGCGTTCATATTTATCAGTCAGGTGTTAGTGGATTAAAACTCTTATTAAAGTTTCTTGTTACAGCACAGAGGGTGCACTTAAAGAGGAAAAAATAATCTCTTGTGTAGCTGGTAAGTTATTTACTTGTTCATTCAGGTCAGATGTTAATAATGTTCAGGGAACAGAGTGCACTGCAATGCAATTGCCATCAGAACCTCTGAAGTCACTCTCACCTTTCTGGCCTCTTTTTCACCTGCTGATCTTTGACAGGTTAGCAAGCAGCTCTCTGAAGAATATGAGAAGATTGTCAACCCTGAAAAGGCAGCGGAAGACACAAAACCTGTGAAGATTAAGGAGGAACCTGTTAGTGATATTACTTTCCCCATAAGTGAAGAGCTGGAGGGAGATTTGGCTTCTGGTGACCAGTCTTTGCCTGTTGGAGTTCTTGCAGCTCAAAGTGAGCGCTTCTCTGCCAACTTGGAAGTAGAAGCTTCCCCACAGACTTCAGGTAAGGGTTTCTTTCTTCTCCTGGAAACAGTCTTTCAGCAGTTCCATGTGATCTTGTTTCCCCTGGTTAGGTTTGGATTTGTGTCCAGAGATTCATATTCCTGCAAACTTGAAACCCTGTTCCTTACATAGCTTAGGCACTGAATGAGTTCTGGAGATATGAATGGTACTTGGTGATGTCCTCCATATTCAGAAATTACCCTGGTAATGACAGTCGCTGTTTTATGGAACCTTATCAGTGACTTAGGTGAGATGGGCTCCTGGGAGCCCCTCCCTAGTGTCTGTACCCCAAAACCTGCTGTACTTGGCTGATGCCATGGAAAGTGAAATAGTGAGTGAATTAGTGCAGTTGTGGAGACCGCTGTCTTCCTCAAAGTGCCATCCTGTCATGGTTTGACGCTGGCACAATGCCAGCGCCCTATGAAAATATAACTTATCAATCAAATGCTGTGAAATGTGATCAAGAACAGAGCAAAGCAGGCTAAACTTAATAACAAAAGAAAAAGCTTTATTACACTACTACTACTACTACTACTACTATAAAAGGAAAAGAAAGGAAAGAAAAAAAAACACACAAAATTCGAAATGAAAACTTTCCAAAACATTTCTCTTCCTTCCACCCAACTCCACCAAACCCCAGCGAGACTCATTTGGATTCTTAATCAAGTTTTCACTCTTCAATATAATCAATACTAAGTCCATCGGGGAAGAGAGGAGTCTCCCTTGCAACCATAGACCCCCAGGAAACACAACTGCCACTTTTTGTGTTTCCAATGTCACACCTGGCACCGCCCAGACACACCGGCCAGTGTGACCCTCTTCTCTCTATGTCACAGTGCTCTCACCACTGGGCATGGACAGAGACTGCTTATAGGGCCCCTTTAAGGATGCTTTGCCAAGGACCACCAGGAACAACAGTCCAGTATCACAATTCGGGACTAGAGTCCCCCCCATTTTCTCCTGGGGCTGAGGGTCTAAAAGACAGAGATCGCCTTCTCTTCTTCCTGAAGATGGAGGGCATCTTTACACCCTCCTCAGCTTTCTCTCTGTTCACTCCAAAACTGGTAGTTGCTGCAGAAGGTCTCTTGGCCCACTAATGCATCTCCCTAAAATGCAGTCCCTCTTGAAAAGAAAGAGTGGTTCAGTCTATGGTAAGCAAGCAGAGTTCAGCTAAAAAGCCACTCTATCATCTGCCCCTAACTTTCTTCTCTAAACATCTGAGGTTTCAAGCTGTCTCTCTTTTTTTCAAATTCAGGAGGAGTAATATTTCATAAAGCCTTCATTTCTCAGGAAGGGTTAAAAGTCCCAACTCCCAAGGATGGCTCGCTGCCCAGGCTCCAGCTCCCACAGCCCGGCTGGGCACCTTGCGGCCCCCCCCGCTCTTCTCCTTCCCTGCGGCGAACTGCTGATAAAACCACCGCTGTCTCTTTTTCTCTCTTGGGAGAGACAGAGACTCTGGGGGGGGAACGGAGACATCCCAGATTTCTCTACCCTTCCATCTGCAGGAGCTGACCCAGCCGGTTCCGATCCTTTACCTCCTGGCCTACCTGTGCAGGCCGCATGGCTCCCCTCCCCCACCCAGCCCGGGCTGGGGGGGGAGGTCCGTATCATGCAATGACCGGAACCAAAGAAGGACGAGTCTTTTTGGGAATTCCGCTTTTAACCTCTCTGTGTTCTCAGAGGCGTGTCCATCTTCAATTGGTCACCCCAAGTGTTAGTATCTAAACCTGACCCCTGATTGGTGAACCTCTTCCTTCTAAAAAAAAATTTTCTTCCCGTGTCAAACCATGACACATCCTTTGGTGACGTTGAAGCTCACTGGTGGCAAGCATGGGAGAATCTGCTATGGCTGTGCCTGCTCTATATCTACATAGAAGTTTCATTCTCTTCACTGTTCAATGAAACTGAACATCCTGGAATGAAAAAGAGGCAGTTTTGATTTTGCATAAAACTGTCTGAACTCTGGAAGTCCCTGCAATAATAACTATTTAACTTAAAAATCTGGTTAAAAAACAATGAAGCTTGTCCTCCTATTAAACCTAAGCTAAGTAGCATATATACTGAGGTTAGACTGTACCTCTATGTCCATTAGTTTTTTTGCATTATTACAAGTTTTAAAAAACATAAATCCGTCTAATGTTTTTCTAAAAGCTCATACTGTTTCCCTTGTCACCGCTGAAATGTAAACTGTTTGCAGTTTGTGGGAGAAGGAGCAGCAGATTCCTCTGGCCCATCCAGGGCTGTGAGTGATTAATCTGGAAGGCTTTGTATTAGCATCTACCGCTTTGAGACCAAGAGGTTAGCACGCTAGCTGTATATTAAATGCCTCTTGCTTCTCTGATACAGAATTGATATTTTCTAATTAAGAATACAAGTGCTCTGTTCCTCCCTCAAAATCCCTCTTCACTTCACAAGAGCCTTTGGAAATCTCATCTGTGAGAAGTTCCAATCTAGACCTGGGCAGCCTGGAGAGTTGTAATATCCTAAGGAGCAAGAAAAAACTGCTGCAATTAGACCACTGCTATCTCGAAATGCAGGTGTGAAGCCTGCAGGGAGGGCAGAAAGGCTTTGGTGTCTGAGGGCAAAACTTCATTACTGCTTTCCATGGTCTTCCTGTGTTTTTGTGCGTGTCTGACATTGCAGTTGTGAGCTGGCTGCTTACTTTCATTGCACTTGGAAAAATGGAGGCAAAATTGTTCCTTGTTCCTCTGCCTCTCAAGATAACATGAAGATTAGCTTATTTCGGAAGTACTTTGAAGTTAAAGTGCTTTGAAGATGAAACATCCTTTGTTGATGCTTAAGTACTTTTAGTCATTAGTGACACTCTTAGTGACAGGTGACAGAGCTGAAAGGAACGAGGTTGAGCGATGAAGAGCAACTGACGAAGGAAAGACACAGTTTAGTTTAGTGAGCACCTTTGATTATTATGTAGACTGGAGCTGTAACTCTGGAACAGCATTTTAATGACATGTCCATTATTGTTGAGAGAGATGCATTTACTTATGATTGACACAGGAAGGACTTCCATTAAGGCAACTGAGCTAATGTAGGCTGTGTTATCAAAAAGGTCTTGTAAACCTTGTTTTTGGCTAAGCTGGTCTGGAAAAGATTCTTGACTTCTTCATAAAGGAGAATTCTTGGCGCAGACAAATGCTGGAACATTTGTTCTCTTTGTAATTTCTACTAATAACGGCCTATTGTTACTAGTATACTGATAATAAGGAATGGTTATAGGTTTGGCTTAGTACAACAACTTTGGTTGTGCTTTCAAACTGTAGCCATGCTCTTTAAGACATGAAGTTTGGAAAATGGTTTGGAAAATGAAGTTTATTAAAATGGTTTCCTGTTTTGCTTGTTGTTATTTTTAAGCGGGTCTTTTCTGTTGTTTTTAGTTTTTGGTTGATTGGGTTTTTGGTTTTAGTGTTTTTTTTAATTTTCTGTGTGAACTTCACCCCACACAAGAGAGAGAAGATTTCACAGTTTATTCAGTTCTGGTCTGTTTATGCCCATCTCAGCAAGGAGACCAGTTAGTGTGTTTTTAATAGGATTTTTGTTTCATTTTAAACTCAAACAGATCTAATGCAATCTGTAATTACTTCTCCTGGGAAAAAAACATTTGCTACTCCAGGAATATGGTTTGGTAATCTTGTACAGAAAATCCTCAGTCAGTGCTCAGATTGCATACTAGTCCAGAAATGTTTTATAAAAAGTGAGGCAAGGGGAGCTATTTCCCAGCAGGGCATCTGTGAGGTTGAGCCAAAAAGGGTTTCTTTCCATTCTCTGAAGGATGGGATGAGACCTGTGGGTATTGAGTAGAAGGAGGCAGGCAGGTGGCTGACTGCAGCTTTGAAGCCCCTGCATTTCAGTGCTGAAAGTGGTATTGGGACTGTTCATCTGCCTAGTCCTCTGTCTGCTCACTTCACCTCCCCTGCAGAAGCCCTGGATGTCTGACATTTGCAAGGGCCTCATAATGACTTCTGGACTGCCTCAAAGTCCTGCTTATGCAGGACCTAGTCCATGTGCTGTAGTTGTACTCATTGCTGCTGGGACACTCCTTCTGGAGAGTGGAGTTGTTTCTCATGGAGAAAATCACATGGAGGCTAACAGTGAAAGGATACCATCATACTTTTTGCAGTGGTAATTGCTGGACTATTAAATAAGTCAACAGATATTTTTTTATCGATCACAGTGTTTGGTGTGTTTTGTTTGTTTCCCCCAGTATAGTTAACCTGTGGCTTTGCTTTTGCTCCATCTTTACTTCTGCTGCTATCCCTTGTATCTGCGTGCTATTTGTGATTTATCTTTTTACTCAGTTACTGCTGTTTGCTTTTTCCTTCTCTAGGGGCTGAGGTGAATGCTTCCCCACTGTGGAACTTGGCACAGGTGAAAATGGAGCCACAGGAAAATGAGGAGGCTAATGTACATGGCCACGGGGTTCTAGGCAGTGATGTCTTTGAGGAACCAATGTCAGGCATGAGTGAAGCTGGGATGCCACAAAGCCCCAATGGCTCTGAGAGCAGCTACGGTTCTCATTCTGCTGACAGCCTGATGGGATCCTCACCTGTCTTCAACCAGCGCTGCAAGAAAAAGATGAAGAAGATGTGAAAAGGAACAGTCTTTTTATTTAGTCCTGATGGTGTGCAACAGACACTTGAAAGGAGCTAGTACAGTACTGTGATGATTCCAACACAGGGCTGGCCCTGGTGTGTGAGGGACCTGCATAAAATTACTGTGAGAGGTTTGATATGTAGCTCCCCTCTTTGCTGGCTTTTGCACTCCATCCTGATTCATGAAACTGAAGATTGCCCTTTACATTTGATGGTGGCATGGCTTGCTTTGGCAGATTAATGAGGAACGTGCTGGTGAAAAGTAGTTGTGAGGAGATTTTGTAAGTTACAGAACCATTGAATACTTTGGATTAAAGGGACCTTGTGTCATTTCTACTCCAGCCTCCTATTCAGATCTCAGCCAGTTAGAGCAGGTTGCTAAGGGCTTTTTCCATTTGAGTTTTGAGTATCTACAAGGATGGTGATACCAAATCTCTCTGGGCAACATTTTCCTGTATCTGGCAACTATCACAGTAAGCAAAAGAATATATTTGCATCTAGTTAGAATTTCCCATGTTCCAACTTGTATTCACTGCCTCTTACTTTGTCATTGTGCATCTCTGAGAAGAGTCTGACTGCCTTCTCTAACCCAGTTATTAAGGGATTCTATACAATGAGATCTCTTCTAGCCTTTTCTCTTCTTACATGTGGAGAAACCATGTTGCCTGAGCTCTCCTTACTCATCCTGTGCTCCAATCCCCAAACCAGCTCTGTGACCTTCCACTGAAATGACTGTGGTGCCCTTGTAAGGGGGAGCACAGAAAGGAATGACATCCTCCAAGCACTATCTCACAATTGCCGAGGAAAGAGGAACAGTAATTTCCCTCAGTGTGCTGCCTACCTGCTTGCTGACTGCTGTGGGCAGCAAGAGAGTCCTAAGTCAGGGTGTATCAGGTGGAGAGCTGTCTCTGATGATGATGTAGCAAAGATGCTGTAGTGTGGTCTCACAGTGCCATTAGCCAGCTCCCTCAGTGCCTTCACGTTCAGCCTGTTCGTTTCAATAGGCCTAAGTTCTCCCTAACTCAGTCTTCCTCTGCTGTAGGCAATGCTTTATTCCTGCATGCTGCTTAGAAGGCTTGAGGACCTGGCAGGCCTTAAAGCAGAACTTACAGTGAAAACAGGTGAAAAAGATGTTGTGTTCATGAGCCTGAAAGTACAAAAAGCATTCTTTGGTACCATATTGTTTGCATTGTTGAACAGTAAACTATATTTTGTTTAACCTTCCTTTTGCTTCCAGTGCACTTAAAGAAGCCTTTCTTCTTGCTTCTTACCAGTTTGAACTCTAGCTGAGCTTTGGCTTTCCTAATTTTCTCTGCGTACTTGGGCTGTGTCTCTATATCTCTTGGCCAGCCCATCACCACTTCCACTTTTGTGTACCTTTGTGTTTGTGTTTGAGATCAGTCAGGAGTTCCTCAGTCATCTGTGCTGGCCTTCTGTCACGCCTGCTGTAATTTCTGTTTGTCAGAAAGAACTGATGTTTTATTTTGAGAAGGCTGTCTTTGAAGATAAAGCAGCACACTTGGGTTCCTTTGGGCAACCAGGACAGAATTTCCCTTGTGAAATTCTGCTGAGACATTCCTTGAATAAAACAAAATATGCTGACCTAAAGGTACAGGACTCTGTCTTGTACACATTTCTCAGGATTTTAAATGCCACAGTTCTATGTCTTCTGCAGCCAAGATATTCACATTCTCCACCAATTCTTTCTTGTTAGAAATAAAACCAGCAGAGCTTACTCCCTAGTTGATTACTTAATCATCTATTCAGGGAAGTTGATGTGGTTTTCTGGAGAGAATGAAACAGCTTTTACTGATGGTGCGAGCCTGTACTGGCAATGCAAACTTTTCCTTTGCTGTCATTGGATTGAGTGCAGCAACTTCAGGCTGGCTGAGCTTTCATATTCAAGGTTGTTATCTTGACAGCTTAGTCTGAAACAGAATCTATTTTGCTGCTTGCTTTTATGGCTCAGCTGACTGATGGAATTTTTTTTGTTCTTCACAATCCTCAGTTGATCAACTCGGTCTTTAACTTGATTCAGTGTGTCTCTCTCTCAAAAGAGCTAGAATGAACATGAATCAAGAATGAACAGCCACTTAAACTGGCTTTATACCTGTAACCCCTTGGGATGGTTGAGGGAAATTTACCAAACCTACCATTTATCTTTACAATTGCAGGTTTATCTTCTGAAAGAGTGAGCTTCAGGCATAGTATTTTTGTTTCTGTATAACATGCCTGGCCTTAATTCTTTTTTCCTAACTGTATTTCTCTTCCACTTTATAGAAGTGGAATCCAAACATAAAATTCCTCAATGTCTAATAAGAATGCGTGACCATAGGCTTTTATGGACAGTGGAGTTAAAATTGTCCATCAGAGTTTTAAAGGTCTCTCCTGGGGGGTAAATTCTCACAATTTTAAGCCTAGTCAGTAGTAGAAGAGCATACCAGGAAATCTTTATTTTGATTCCCCCTAAGTCACCATTAGCCAAGCTGCAATGTCCCTGTTTTCTCATCTGTAAAAAAGAATAGTAATATTTGCCTTTAAGAAGTGTGTTTGAGATTTAGTTGCTCTGCAAGAAAAAGGTGCAGTAATCATTCAGAGAGTTTTGTGAGAGCTGCAAGCTTTTATTCCACTTCAGTTGGATTGTTGCTGGCTGGAGAATGCTTAGATGGTCATGGAAATGTCTTAGATGACATAGATTTTAAACAAAACTGCTGATCACAAAGAACAACACAACTTTGCTGTTCAACTGTCCAGGTACAAGGAAGGCATTTGGGGTGGTACCTTCTCACTCAGCTTTAGATGTCTGCATCTAAACTTGTTACTTCGGGCCACATTTGCAGTTGAATAGAAATAATCATTCTTTGGTCACTGTCCTTTTGGCCTTGAGGTAGAAGTATAAAGCAGGTTGAATGAATGGCATTTTTAGAAAGGTGTATTTTTACTTTGTGTGCCCATGAAGTGAGTTCAGCTTGACTACCTGTGCTGAAGACATCCACACTGTCAGTGTATGAAGTAAGTGATGTGACTTAAGCCTTTCCTGGATGGGAATCAGAGACTTTCTCCTGCTGGGCCAGTGCTTTTTCTTTTCTGCACATTTACTAGAGCTTGCTGTTCAAATGGCTAAGAGCTAAACCAGCAGATCCAGCATTCCCCACAACACTCAGAATGTGCCAGGATGGGGCCTTGAGGCTCAGCCTGATTTGCCCTATGTGTCTTTGACACTGTGTGAGAACACCTGTCATTGGGCCTTTCTCTCTAAGTGCTTAGCAAACTGGTTCTTGTAGTGTACTTGCAGCCAGGCTACTTATGCAGAGTCCATTGCACTATTTTTGGGAGCCAAATGACAGAGTGACTGCTGCCAGGATCACTTGCTCATTTGCAAGATTTCAAGTGGGCTACAAATGAAAATCTAGTGTTCTTTAGGGCTTTGGTTAAACCTCCTGAGTGTTAATCTTAAGTGCTTTCTCTGTATTGTTCATGTACAGATGTTCTATCTTAACTTTTGTGATTTTTTTTAATTTGACATTCCCTTTCCACACCAATTTCACCCTCTAACACACTCTGCAGCAAGCCAAGCCTGAGTGCTTCAAGTGTATTTAAATGCAGTGCATATTGACTGTCTTTTGAATCAGCTGTGTTGTTGCAGTGTAAGGGAGAAGTGCTATTGATTCTCTTTGGGATGTATGCAAAGGTGAGAAACCCATCAGCATCGCTTATACACTTAAAAATGAAGGCAGAGTAATAGCTGTACCTCCTGTTCCCCCACTGTGCTAAGGGTTGCAGCTGACTTTTGTGTGCTTAACATTTCCTTTTATGCATGTGGAAGCTTCACCTTCTGGGTGAGCCCTTTGCCTCTGAACATTTATGATTCTTGTATTTACAGTGGTGTTCATCATGCATGAAATAGTGAAATTTAAAAACTAGCTCACAAAGTCAGACACAGACTATATGCTCTTTTGATGGATCAAATAAGATTTTGCTAGGTGTTAATGCAGCCTTGGGCAAATAGTGAGGTGTGTTCGTTGACCGTGTAATCCCCAAATTTTAAACCACAGTGAGATTATGCAGTGGGTTGGAATGAAGCTCTGCTTTCGCAGTTGCTGTTTCTTGCTGGTGGCTGGTGAAGCACTCTGATGACCCACCTGCTTCAACAGTCTGCAGTTTTCTTTCATCTTTCACCTTTCTCTTTTCAGAAGTGGGTGGATGAAAAATGGGAATATTGAGCATTGACCATATCCATATCCAGTAGCATTGATGTCTGACAGTGATTTTTTTTTTTTTTGCCATGATTGAAATTGGTAGGAACTTTGCTATAAATTTGGATAGCAAGATCTGTAAATTACTTGGCTTTTGAAGTGTTTTGCATAGGAATCACACAGGATTGTAGTTGAGAGAGTGCTGTATATCATACTCCTTTTCCCCTCTAGCAGTACCTTTTTATTCCTTTTGAAGAGTTTTGCCTGGTATCCAGTAAAGTTCTCTGTATAAATGGCAGTGTAACAACTTATGTGTACAGCTTTATGTCAGACTGTGCTACCTAGTGATTTAATTCCAAGGCCATCCATGATAATTTGAATATGCATAATGCTGTGCAGAAAAAGAGATGTTTCCTGCATAAAAATGTACAATTTAAAAAGAAAACAGGAAAACAAGATTAGGTAGGGTAGGTGAGGCCAATCTGATTATGTGCTCAGTTCTGAGACTAATGCACATGTTATGTGTGAAGGATGTTTTACTTAAAATGTTTTTGTACATGCATGTGAAAGAAATATGTAACTTTGCTTTGTGTTTATATGGAACAAAATTACTTGGAAATATTTCAGGGTTGGGTTTTTTCCCTTGCTCTCCTGGAGAGAGTTGCTTTGTAATTTCTAAGAAAATAAATAAAACTATTCAGAAATAAAAACTCTAAAGGTGTTGTATGTGTTTTTTGGCTTGTTTTGGTGAACAATGCTGTGAACACAAAAGCCAGTCTTGGGGTTTTGCCTACCCTTATGTGGGATTTGGAGGAGACATTTTGCAGGCCTGAATAAGGTACTGGATGATATATCACAGCCAGGAAGACAAAAAATGTTATTCAAGGATGTGGCCAGGGGAAATGGAAGTCTTATTTTGCACAGGTACCAGTGCTAGTGAGCCCCTGAAGCAATATTAGAACCACAGTGCTACTATTGGTATTCATCCAGCATAAGCAAGTGCTGTTTCTGGGGCAACTACTTATATATACTTCTACTACTTATATTAACAGACTACCTAGGAGCCCTGCTGCAAGCCATGTGCTTTGCTCTTTTATGTGCTGGTCTACTTATTTTACATCCTGCTTTTTTTTTTTTTTTTTTTTTTTTTTTTTTAATTGGGGAAGTGCTTTAGACTGCAGTGAATGAAGCACGGTGTGCTTTCCCCTTCTCCTCTGTCATGGTAGGGCTGAGGAAGGAGGTTTGATGCTCGCTAGTGATTCTGGCCGTGCCCATCGGGTGATGCTGGCCGTGCCCACTGGGTGATGCTGGCCGTGCCCACTGGGTGATGCTGGCCGTGGTGACCGGGTGATGCTGGCCGTGCCCACCGGGTGATTCTGGCCGTGCTCACCGGGTGATGCTGGCCGTGCCCACCGGGTGATGCTGGCCGTGCTCACCGGGTGATGCTGGCCGTGCCCACCGGGTGATGCTGGCCGTGGTGACCGGGTGATGCTGGCCGTGCCCACCGGGCGGTGCTGGCCGTGGTGACCGGGTGATGCTGGCCGTGGTGACCGGGTGATGCTGGCCGTGCCCACCGGGTGATGCTGGCCGTAGTGACCGGGTGATGCTGGCCGTGGTGACCGGGTGATGCTGGCCGTGCCCACCGGGCGGTGCTGGCCGCTCGCCGCTGCGGAGCCGCCGGTGCAGTCCAGGCTCGCCGCAGCCTCTGCGCTCCCCTAAAAACCCCCCAAACTCCAAACCGTCGTCTTTAATACCGGAGATTAGAATCGCCTCTTTTGTTGCTATGGAAACGCTGCGTGAGAGAAGTCGACCTCATTATGGGTTGGGATGAAAAGTCCTTAGGGGTGGGCTCGGCACCCAGCACCCTTGCAGTGGGGAGAATGGGGCTGCGGGAGCTGTGGCAGGGGCATCGCTGCTTTTGCAGGGATCCTCAGTGGTTTGCAGAGCTTGTCGGTGTTTCCCTTCATCAGGCCAGAAACAGCCCCTACTCCTGGACCATTTCCCATGGGAATCGGCTCAAGAGTCGTGGCAGCATCACTTGTGCACCTGGACCGCAGGTGCCCTTGCTTCAGCGTGTGTGGAGGCTGTCACTGCAATAGGCAGCGGGGCTGCAGCAGTGAGCTGGATGAAAGTGCCTGTGAGGGCCTGGCATACACTCTGTGAGCTTTTCCCTCAAATCTGGGCTGCCACCTCTGAGCCCAGACTGTCCCTGTAAGGTGTGCCTGCCTCACTGTCAGCATTGTGCCCATCCAAACATCCTGCTGCCTCTGCTCACCCTTGCCACCCATGTTTGTTCTCGTCCCTCCCCTGACCTTCACTGCTCATTCTCCTCTTGAACTCCTGACAGCATTCTGTGCTCTCACTGCCCAGCTTCTTGTGGCAATTATTGCTGCCCATATTGAGTTGCAAACACGCTTAGGAAGCAATATTTTTTTTCCCTGAGTGAAAAAACCACCAAACCATTAAGATTATTTATCTTAGTTTTAGGCAGAATTTTCTTTCTCTTGGTGGAGGAAAGTAATTTGAAACTTACTGTAAATATAACAGTTGTAAAAGCTGATGGGTCTTCTCAGTTATTCCATCTTGTTGCTGTTGGACAAACTGCCCAGCATGGAGGGTGTGCTGGATTCCAGCCCTGGTGTAACCTCCCCATCCCTGATGCCTTCTGGCTGAAGTGGAGGGACAGACAGAACTTGTACAGCAGGAGAAGATGAGGTAGGGGGCTGTGCAGCAGCCAGAGGGTGGCATGTGCTCTGGGGTGGGATCTGTGTTACCCTGCTGTGCCAAAGCTGGCATTTGTTGAAAGGTAACCCCATTAAAGATTTTGTGAACTACAGTTTCTTAGCCTTTCTGGGTATCAATTTCAGAGTATTTGGAGAAAGGCTGGAAAAATGATAGCATTTGCCAATAGTAATACCAAAACCAAGAAAAACGGGTCCCTTTTTTCCTTGTTGGTGGGTTTGGGGACCTCTCCCTTTCCCTTTCCCCCTTTCATTACATTTTCCAGTCACAGAGCAGCCACAATGTTGGTTTTGGTGTTCCTGATTTTGCCAGAGGAGCTGCAGTGTGTTTGGTGAATGTGACATTGGTGCTGCTGCAGCAGCTCCTTTGAAGACAGTGATGCTGAATGTTTAGCCAAACCTTTCTTTTTCATCTGCAATGCCCAGTAGTGAATGGACTTACATGAATGTAACCAGACCAGTTTGACACTCCATCTTTCCCTTTTGACAGTCTCTTGACTCCTGTAATACCATAATTTTGCTATTATTTGAGTCGATGCAAACTCTTCTATTGTACAGCAGTCCTGGGTTTCTCTAGTGAAGAAAGGAAACAAGGAAGCCAATTGCTGGTAGCTCTGAATGCCTAAAGAAAATTATATGAACCAATTCTAATCTAAAAAGCTGTAGTATATAAAAAACTGTCTCAGTCTTCCTTTTATAGTCTAAAGAAACAAAACCACACCTCCACTTCCAAGCTTCTTTGATGGTCACATTGAAAGCAAATTAGTTGCATTTATATTGTGATATCTGAATTAAATTTGTCTGATATGGCTGAGATGTCACAGCCCTATTAACTACAGATGCTCTATAATACAGTGTCTTTTTAAACAGACAGGTAGGATAAAATAAAATATGATTCTTTGTCTCCTGAATGGATTTTTCTGTGGGAAACAGTGAGCAAACCAGCTACATCTCAGAATAACCATATCTTTCACAATGACTTCAAAGGAAGCAGAGAAATTAAATAACTAAAGAGACACTGTCCTTCATGTATTCATCTCCTCTAGCCCAAAGCTCAGAGACCTTCCTACACTCATTTTTAGTCTTTAAAAAATTAGCATTTCACAAAAAATCAGCAGAGCTCTACAGCTCTCAGCAATGATTTCTGTTGTTGTGTTTTGTCATTCTGTTTGCATGCTCAGTTTTGATAAATTATGTTCTTCTTGGGTTGGGTGCAAAATGTATTTCTGCAATGAATGAATGTACTTCTCACTACAGAGCATCCAATCAGATACCCTCTAAGACCCCTATCTTGTGAGGTGTTTAATTATACAGAATCATCCTAGAAAATACTAGCTGATGTCTGGGTCCTGAAGCAAGCGTGAATGAAAGATATTTGATCTTGAAATTGTGGGCTGGAGAGGAGATTGTGGGTCAGCTTGTGGGCTGGCCACAGACCCTTATGCAGAGACACTGCTTTTTCTGTTTTATAAATTCTTCATGAGTCTGACGTCTTCCACGGTAGTAAGCAGTTTCAGAAACTACAGACACAGACTTCAGTGCTGTTTGTGGGAGTTTCTAGGTGGTTTTAATGAGGCACAGAGGTAATTCTGCAGAGTCATGCTGCAAGTAGATGTACCTGTGAGCGCCAGTGTGGGACTGTGAAAGCTCTGGTTTCTTTTTGGAGTGGCAGATAGAAGAGAAAGCGACAGTCTGCACAGAAAATCTGTGTGCAGCCTCCTCATGGGGAGAAAACACGAGCTCTTGGAGCATCTACTGAAAATTCATAGAGGGTGAAGGATTTAAAAGTGAAAGGAAAGGCAGAAAAGAGAGAAAGATGAAACAAATTGTTCTAGAAACTGCAGAAGTTAAAAATTGCAAGGCTTGATTCCTCCCTCTCCCTATGCCTGGAATCCCTCTGCATCCATGAGATGCCAGTGATTCAAACTGACAAAGGGAAAGCTGAAGAGATAGAGAGGGCAATATATGTGGGTAGGTATTTAGGATTTACTGAATTAGGTGGTATTTGTATATGCATTATCAAGGCACAGATATACAGAGCAGTTATATTTGTGGCTGTGCTGTTGCCATCATATAATTTACAGTTCCCAAGGATCATGAGTAGTTCCTGTGCCACTTCTGTCATCATCTTGTGGGATGTGTGACCTGAGGAGTTTGGGTGCTTGAGATAACCACGTAGTGCTCCTAGTCTTTCATCTAGCAATTCAGATAAGCATGTCTGTGATTTTAAGTGTACGAAGAACAGGGTGTGGATGTGCTTTGAATTATGCCTATACCTCAATGCTTTGCTGAATAAGGGCAGTACAGCAGAGTAATGAGCAAAATTTAAAGAAAAAAACCCAACCAAACAAAAAACAACCAAACTAAAACTGCTTATTGGGCTATATTTAGGTCAGGATCTGCAGTTCATTTCTCTGGACACCTGATGCCTCTAGCTAACTGACTAGGCTGCTCCAGGAATGATATTTTATTCCACTGATCTGACAACACCCATCATTTTCTTAAACACAAATGTTCATATCACTAAATCACCTCTGCCATTGTTAGTGCTAATTGGCTCCCTGACTGTAACCTCAGAGGAGCTTGATAAGCCTGAATGGAAGCTAAAGACCTGTTTCCCCACAGAATAGCACTGGGACAACCTGTGAATACATAACAACCTCTGCTTTCACATTTTGCTCCCTGGTCTCCCTACAGAGAGGCTTTTAAAAGCCAGGGCTATCACCCTCACCATTTTCTGCCAGGACTGAGTTTGCCCACACAGAAGTTGAAGTGTACTAGCCACTGGTAAATGTTTGCTTTCCATCATATTTTTCTGCTAGTAGGTGCCTGTGTGTGCAGTCGAGTGCACTGGGCAGGCTCCAGCTCCTGGTAAACAAGAGAGACAAAATGGGGACATGAGCAGAGTGGGAATGCAGATGGGTGTTGGCATGAGGTCAGATGCTTTTACAAAATACCACCCTTCATTT